GCATGAGGCCCTGAGTTCAAACCCCAGTATCATCAAAAAAGAAAGAAAAAGAAAGTTCCACAGCATTTAATAGCATTTATGATACACCTCTGACTTATCTTAAGTGTCTCAAGGTCCTTTGCATAGGACAGGAAATTGGTAGAATTAATTGGTGACAGAAAACAAAAGCATTCATCTGTGGAGTGGCTCAGATGGTATAATGTCTGCCTAGCAAGCATGAAGCCCTGAGTTCAAACCCCAGTACTGCAAAAAAAAAAAAAAAAAAGAAAAGCATTCAATTCAGTGGAAATCACAAGGCATGAATCATCTTTCACAAGGAATCTTGGAGGAAGAAAAGCTTGTTAATTGCTGTGGCTTTGAATAAAGAATTATTCTACCTATTCAGTTGATGAGGCAAGACAAAGTTCAAAAATTGTGCTCACAAATTTGAAGTAACTTTTTAAAGCACTTAAATAATTTCTAAAATAATTACTATCTTCAGATTGTTAATAACCTTCAAATTATACTCTAAACCCTCGATGTTACTCATCTTAGACCTGCACCACAAATTACAGTTCTTACACTTGACAACTGTCCAATAAAATGATATTCTAAAATTTTTAATTTTGCTCCTGTAACATGCCATACTAGAGGTGCTACAGAAAGGTAAACTCCATGTAGCTTTTCAGTAACTGATCTGGTGATGGGTGCAATGAGGTGTATCAATAAAACATGTCCTGGAATGAAACAGTTTATGTCCGAAACCAGGCAAAGGAGGCGTGAGTCCTTTTCTAAGACATGAAGTGGTCTTCATGTCTTAGAAACAGCTCTTTTGTCAAAGAACAGTTGTGCTACAAAGGGTCAAGAACACACAAGGCTGGACTCTGCTCCCCTGTGTCTGCCTCCATCTCCCTCCACAGAAGAAGGTCTACCTTTCCCTCCCAGTCGAGGCCAGTGCCAGCCCCCAGGGAGTCTTCCCCTGGGCTCATTTTGCCTCATTCACTTCTACCCATAATCACACTGGCCTCGTGTTCTGTTTAGCAATATTCGTACATACATGTATGATTTTCTGCTAAGACTGGAGAGCCTGATGCAGCAGTGCCCACAATAAGGAAATAAACATTTATAATTCTTCTACTATGTAAAAGTGACTTTGTTTATAGATAGCACTAAGATAACACAACTTTCCTCAGCGTTGACTTGCTCTAATGGTCAGCCAGCATTTGCAATGGCAGACCCTTCAGTATTTCAGCATTCTGTAATAAGCCGGCTCCATCTTTGTCTTTGACACAAGTTCACACTTAATCCAACTACAATAATATCTTTAACTCAGTGTAAGGAGAGGGTATTTATGATCAAGCTTTAAGACATGACTGCCCCGGGGAAAAGGCGGGCATTAATCTCTGGTTTTGGTTGCTATAGAGAAAGAGAAGGAGGAAATACATTAAATAAGAACTCTCTCATGGGCCAGACAAGGTGGCTCATGCCTATAATCCCAGCTGTTCAGGAGGCAGAGATCAGAAGGATTGCTGTTGAAGGCCGGCCCGAGCAAAGAGTTAAGAGAACTCCATCTGAATCAATAAGCCAGGCATGGCAGTATGTGCCCATGATCTCAGCTACACAGGAAGCATAGGTAAGAAGCATCCAGTCTAAGGTCAGCCCCAGGAGTAAATAGAAAACCTTAGCTGAAAAGTAGCTAAAGCAAAAAACCTCTAGGGACATGGCTTAAGTAGTACAACAAGTGCATAGCCCTGAGTTCAAACCCAGTACCACAAAAAAGAAGAAGAAAAGGAAAAAAACTTCTCTGTCACCTATTGTTTTCATCACTTAGTGTTTTCATTTCATAATCAATTTCTCTTTTTGGGGGGGAGGAGGCACTCTGCCATTGAATGTATTTATGGCATTTTAACTTAGGCCAAAGTCCTATCAAGTTGCTTCTTAGATATTTTCTTTATTTCTGAGGTTGATTTTATGTAGCAATATCAATGACCATAGTCTTAAAACATCTGCAGGTGAACTTCACCTCCAACTAGAAATAATTCCTGCCCAGCTTCTTCCTAACACACTCGGAAGGAAAGAACCTTTCCTCTAAAAGTTTTAGCACTGAGATTCTTTTTATTTTTCTCATTTTTCTAGGAGGGACTCAATGGGGTTCTAACAGCAAGCATGGCTTGCAAGCAATGCTGGCTGGTCCTACACAGTGACTGATGAGCTCAGGCCTGAAAGCAGGGACACTTTCACATTTACTTACGTTGCTCAAGGACTGTGCTTTCTAAAATTATAGCAAAATAAATAATAAGGATTTGTTGGCTAGAGGACAGATAAAAAGTAAGTGAATAGCAAATGAAACTATTTCAAAAATAAAAATGTTATAATAAAAGTGGAAGCCATTCCTATAGCCATTGGAATACAAAAAATACCGATGAACCACTTATTAGGGAAAGCACTATCACAAGAAGCAGATAGCCTGGTATCAATCAACTCTATGCTCTTTTAAAACCATGATGAAAACAACCCACATTTCCTGAGCGCCTAATGCATGCCGGGCAATCTGTACCACTGTTTTCTTTGATCCCCGCACAGTCTGGTACAGTTAGCCATGCCCTTATCACATTGATGGATGAGAAAACTAAATCTCTATCATTCATTCATGGCTGCACATTGGTGAGAAGCAGAGTCAGAATACGAACCTGGGTCCATTTGACTCAAGAGTCTATGCTTTTCACTTCAGACTACAAAATAGCTATGTCTGGAATAGGAGACTTTTCATTGTGTGTGTTTTGATTCAGAGAGATTGGTCTCCAGTAGATTTTGCACAGCTTCCTTTTGCAGTATTTGAGTAGCGCAGATCATAGGCAAGGATGCTTGAGGTTAAAAACCAAGCACTGCACTAGGAGTCCATGGAACCACAGCCTTGCTTGATCTGGGCGTTCAGCTGTGTAGACCTGGTCAAGTCACTTCCTCATGCTGAAACTATCTAGTTATAAAATGAGGCTAAGAGTTGCTCTACTCTCTAATTTGGTTGTAAAAATAAAATAAAGTTCATGTGAAAGAACTTTGAAAAAGACACAAAAGAATAAACATAACCTATTATTTTCAGCCATGATTTCAAAGTCCATAAGACTATGTACACAAAGAATTCAAGTGGTTTCAAACTGGAAACAAGCTCATTATTATTTTTTAAATGATGATGGGATTTCTGGCATGCTTGTTTTGTTTTTCTGCCTTTATCAGACTATCCATAATAACATCACCAATATTATTTTTAGAAAGAAAGACAAAAGAAAGTAAAAATAGGAAAAACCCACATTAAGCATTTTTTGCAGTTAGACATCTGTGTGTTTCAGGCATGCCCAATAAGCATGATTTCTGGTGTAATCAAATTATAATTTTAGTTGTGCGTCCTTTTATCATTTAGTCAGTGGTGGTAGTTAGAGGAAATGCGCTCCCCCTCTTCCTACGTGGACACTTAGTAGGTCACCTAAATTTTCTAATCACTCCCAAATGAAAACATAGTCGTATTAAATCAGAAATGCCATGTCAATCTGATTGCTAGACTCCAGTCCCAAGTAGCAACTAGATCTCAGAACTGTTTTGTTGAGCATTCTCTCTAGCTGTGGGTCAGAACCCTCCAGGTGGAAGGAAGATGGAGGCCAGCCTTCTTTGCACACTTGCTAACAGGGCTTTGATCCTCCAGGTTTGGCCCCAGAGAAAGGGAAGAAGAGAGACAGAGTATATTCTGGTATGAGATATATACTGCTGCCATCCAAAGCCAGGGTCTTCTGGGCGGCAGCTACTTAACCAGAACTCATACTTTAGTTGGTGTTTCCATGGATTTCTCAAAGATTCCTGTTCTGGGACCCCCTTCCTGCAGCGCCTTGTCACTTACTGTGTCTCAGTCCATGGGAATCTGGATAGGCTCCCAGCTTCCTTCCTGCTGAGACCCCATTGGCCCTGTTGGGGAATGTCCCACCTGTGGTTCACATGTGTGCTGTCCTTGCCCCACTCCAGTGGCTGCTGAATTCCTTCCCAGCTCATTCTTTCCCCACCCTCTCCACTCAGTCAAGGCCACTTAGGATTTTTCTGGGATGAGTCAGCCACAGGATCTCCAGGTGCAGAAGTGCATATCAGGCTCTCCAAGAAAGCATGGCAATCCACTCCCTCCAGACTGGAGGTGAACACTATCACCCTACCTTCATCCTCACCCTTTTTGTGTGATGATAAAGATCCCCACCATGGCACCAACCTTTTCTGAAGTACTTGCTTCACAAATCCCCCCTTCTTGTTCACCCACTAACCCTTTTTGATATGCTTGATCTGATTAAGGACTTCAGTAGTTGTGGAAGTAGCTGCCAAATCCTTCACAGATGAATTTGCATGCGATGGGCTGTCCCCAACTCACTTTGATATCTGGCACTGATTACGGGGCCCGTCAATTGAAACTGAGTCATAGATGCAACAGTCTTTCACCAGTGACTATCTGCAGCCACCTTTTCTTAGCTGGGGGGGGTCACCTGTTCCTTCTTCTAATCCACACACATCACACAACCCCAGAAAGGAGCCAGGCTGACCATCCACAAAAAGGCCTGTGACCTGCTGTGGACCAGAAGAAATCCTTGTCTATTCTGTTTGGGTTGTTTTTAAGCATTTAAGCATTTGTGTTCAAAACACCATATAGGTCCTGAGAGTTCTAAAACAGGTAAATAAGATGTGATCCCTGTCTTAAAGGAACTTCTAAATGAACGTGAGAGCAAATGATACAGAGGAGCAAACCACATGGTAGAGGAAGTAATGGAGGAAGGAGACAGGAAAGAGGAAGTAACCAAGGGAAACAAGGAGGAAAGGTGGATGTGGAGGTATTGAATATGACCTGAAATCAAACCTCTGGCTCTGTGAAGCCCACTTAAAACAGTCCTTATGACCTTCTTTAGAAAAACAAAGAAAAAAGACAAGGAAATGAAAAAAACATGTGTTTTGAAACCCCTGGCTTTTGATATTTTCTTCATCCCTGTCAATTACAGGGGGAAATAAACTAATGGATCAGCCTTTTCATCTAAACTGGGCTTGGATTTCTTTGGAGAAAGAGTACTACATTGTGGATGAAGACTCCACGTTCTTACAAGTGACCCTCACACGCCGAGGACACCTTGCAGGGACATCCTTTATCAGTAAGTCACTAGGGGTTGGTTGTTGGAAAAAGGTCACAGAAACATGAAATATAAGCTGAAAAGGAATGACGGGAGAACAGACTGAGAGAGAATCCGTAACCGGCTTGGGGGACGTCTCCAAAGCTGTGTGTGGAAATTGTTTGCTATGGCTTTTGCTCCATGTGAACTATAGGAAAAAGATGGATCAATTTTTTTCCCCTCCTTCCCCTTTTCATCTTTCTGACAGGTCACATTCTTTCTCACTTCTATAACTGAAAGGACTCCAAGAAAATTAAGACACTTCCTAGCCATCCCAGAGTCCCAAATCACTCAATTTTTTTTTAAATTGTCTTGAAACATAAAGCATTTTTGTACGCTTATGCTCACATTTTTTTTGAACAATTATTGGGCACATGAGGTATTACTGTTTTTCATGCTAACTGCTTCTTATCATGTTTGTAATTGTTTTAACCCTGCAATTAGGTTGTCAATGACTCGAGGACGTGTACAGTATCTTTCTTTTGGTTGTACAAGGACCTAGTCCCCAATTCCATTTCCTTGATGTAAACATATACACATGATGCCTGCATAATGAATCCCATTATTACCATTAATAGTTAATAATTGTTCTAGTAATGTTTCATAGCATCTTTAGCTTCCAGAACTTTCAGAAACCATTTCAACTTTATTTTCATAATCTGTTGAGGAGACGGGATGTGCTATCTTCATTTTACAAATGACCGTTCTGAGTCTCCCAGATAAGTAGGACCCCAGAATATCAAAACTGTTGGAGAGAAGCCAGGAAGGAAATGGGCTGCAGAGAAAATAGGCAATCAAGAAAACATAAGCTTTTCCCCTTCTCTCCAGGCCCAGGCTTCTGGAATAGTCTGCTCTCTTAGGAAAGAGGTCACCCAAAGCTTCAGCCCACACCTCTTCATCAACACAGGTAGAATTTCTCTTGCAGAGCTCTGCCCCCACGACTTTTTAATCTTGTGTCCTATACAGTGTTGCCTAAAACCACATCCAAACCACAGAAGTAAACCTCCAAACCATCATATTCAGATGCTCCCAAAAGTCTGAAGGCCTCCATCCCAGCCCAGGCAGGGCTAGTAGCAAAGCACAGAATCTAGAAGAGAAAAGGAAACGAATTGTGGAGTTTGACTTCCTATCAAAACACTTATCCATAGCCCCTGTACTAGGGATTGAACCCTGGGCCTTGCACATACAAGACAAGAGCTCTACCACTTGAGCTATGCCCCAAGCTCTTTTGTTTTTATTTTGTTTTGTTTTCAGGCAGGATGTCACCATTACCTTTGCCCAGGCTGGCCTCAAGCACATAATCCTCCTGCCTCTGCCTTCTGGGTAGCAGGAACTACAGAGGGTACCACCACACCAGCTCACCAGTGTTCGTGAAAGTTCAGTTTTCTATGTGTTTCAGTTATCCCCCTCAAAATGTGTTGGTGGCTGATACAAGATAGTAAATCTAAATTGAGTTAGCATGGTCCCTGGCACACAGAAAATGCCTGAATAGAGGCACTTACCATTATTATTCCATGGCATAGTTGAAAAGAATTGAAAACACCTATTCATCTGCCTTTCTCCCCCTATGTGGAGAACCTCTTGAGGCTATGGTGGCTGGGCCTAAGTCTGTGTGACATCTTCACACCTTGCTCAGAGTCAATGTTCACCAAATGTACTAAGCAAATAGCCATGTGCCTTCTTCCTATAGCAGAGCCACCACACTCTCTGGGGCTTCAGCTGAGGACATCACTCGCTCTTCCTATGGTCCCCACCTCCAGCATGTGACCCTGGAGGCCCTTCTGAAGTATTGGACCTTGACGCTCAGTTACTGAACTGCATGAATGCAGGCTTTCCCTGCTAAGTTTGCAAAGACGTCACTAGCCATACTAAATTAGAAATCATTTTCCCGCTTTACAACTGTGGGTGTCTTTTATAAGGGTTCAGATTATTTGAAAAGGAGACAAAGGAATTGCACAAGGGCCTATTAATCTCACTTATGGAAGTTTTTCACCATCACTAATGTCAGATCCTAGTATTGGATTTCACACATTCAAACAACTGCAGAATCCAAACTTCATAATGTTAAAATAAAAACCAACAATACTACAATGTTGCTTGAGCACTGTGTGGGGAAGGTTGATTGATTGATTTGAACTCAGAGCCTTGCCACTTGGTAAGCAGGTACTCTACACTCGAGCTACCTACAGCCTAGTTTAGTTAGCCTCTATGAGCCTTTTACCATTGTATTTGGTATTGGATATTTTAAAAACTATTTGTTGTTATTTTAATTGTTACTTGGTCTCCTCAATGAGACACTAATCCCTGTTTCGTAAGAGAACCCCAATCAGTCCCAGCCTCTCCATTTCCACTACCAGTGACCTAATCGTCTGGAAAATTACTAAGAAATCTCTCACAATCAAAAAAATCACTGAACACTTGAGGAAACAAGCCACCATTAGTTGGGGTCTCCATGAGAAAACAACCTAGCAGTCATTCCCTCAAAGGCTGCAGAAGTTACAATTATGAGACATAAAATATTCTCTCAAAAATATTTACTCTGTCCCAGGAATTCATCAGTGAACACACCAGTCAAAGATCCCTGCCTCCATAGAGCGCACATTCTAGTGTCTTCTGTTTGGACTGGGAGCTGCCTGTGGGGCTGCGACTCTTTCTTACCCATCTCTGAATCTCCAGAACCTGGCAGAGTTTGGTACAGCAGATGCCCTCGGTAGACTTATGCTAAAGTAAATAAATTAATGTCTGATCTGTGTTCAGTTCCTTCTGTCAGTCCTCCTTCCTCCTTCCTCTCAAATCAGTTCTCTTCTGTTTTACTTACACTCTTTCAAGCAAGAAAGGTCATTTACAGATATCTTTGCAGAGTCCTAAAAGAAGTAATGTCTACGTTTCTCATTTTTACTAACAGTAGACTCCGTTTTGCAAGAATATCCCCTTAGTCACTTGACTTTATATTAACCCTTTCCTGGCTTTTATTCAGGCATTGGTACCAAAGCTGAAAGTGCCAAAGACGGTAAAGATTTTAAAGGAAAAGCCCATGAACAGGTCCAATTCAATCCTGGACAGACTACAGCCGTATGGAAAGTGAGAATTATACCTGACCACCAGTATGAGACCTCAGAAACTTTCCAGATCATTCTGTCAGAACCCGGCATGGCTGCACTGGAGTTTCCAGAAATGGCAACGGTTGAAATTGTGGACCCTGAAGATGGTATGTGGCGTTGGCTGATGTGCTGTGAAAGGCATTCACGCCTCTCTCAGGCTCAGAAGGTCACCAGACACATTCATACCCATCCAAGATTTAACATGAAGTAAATGACTTCAAGACACTACTTTTTCCATTATCTCTCAGAATTTTCCAAAAGGAATAAAAGGGATTAAAATAAAAAGGATCTTTTCCGGGATTCCTTGAACATCCACACAGTCCTGACTGTGAGCTTCCTAGGCAGCATCTGTGTGGAGCCTCCCTGCCCTAGACGGCTATTCTGCAGGACTCCGGGTCCAGAACCTGGTCTGAAAGCTGCCATTGAGCAGGGGGGGGAGGGGTGGAGGGCTTAGATAACCGTTGCCCTAGAAGTGGCTTCTGAGGGGTGACCTGCCAGCCCAGGTGTTCCATGAAGGTCTGTTATAGCTACACGTCATATTCATGCATTCATTGGCTGATTGTACGAATTCATTAAGCAAATATCTAGAGAAATTAAACAGAAAAAAAAATCTAGGTAGTCATCATGCTATTTGCTGTCCTTTGGGGTAAAGAAGAGAAATATTCCCTAAAGGGAGTTTTTAGCATTTCTTTGATTTTTTTTTTTTTTTTTTTTTTTTTGGTACTGAGGCTTGAACTCAGGGCTTACACCTTGAGCCATGCCACCAGCCCTTTTATCTGATAGGTTTTTTTGAGATATGGTCTCACAAACTGTTTTCCCGGGCTGGCTCTGAACCACAATCCTCCTGATCTCTGCTTCCTGAATAGCTAAGATTACAGGTGGGAGCCACAGTGCCCGGCTTATCTTTGAATTGTAATGAGACACACCAATTATACCACATAGTTGGGAAAATTCTGGCAGCAGCCGGAAGTGTAGAACTTGCAATCGGGGGACTGGTCTTGCCTTCCACAGGGCTCCATGAGGAATCTCCGTGTCCCAAACTGTGTGAGCAACGTTAGAGTGACAGGATATCTTCATGGGGTGGACGCTGTCCACAGTGAAGCAAGTTTAGGAGCCATTTCAACCTTCCTTGCTCTGTTTTAAACATCGCAATTCACACAGGACCAGGGATTTTTTTTGGTCATAAATATCCTTTAAATTTTCTGAGTTCTAGTTTTATTGAAACACAACTTGAGAAATATGATTCTGTATGCTCTGCACTTTAGCTGATGAAAAGAAATAGAAAAATAGTCCTCACAGCTCCATGAACGGGTGTCTGATGAGTTTTATGGAAAACACTGCTCAGATACATGAATGGATCAGGAAGGCTAAAGTAACCGGAAGTGGAGGGAATCATTGCCTCCATCAAAGCAAGCAAGGCAGGGAGGAGAAGCAGGGGGGAGGGGGAGAGGGAGAGGGGGAGGGGGAAGGAATATTATGGCAGAATATTCCTTTCTGTTTTAATGTTCACTCTTCTTTCTAAACTCAATTCCACTACTTTTCCAGGACCACTCAATAATAAATGTCACTTCCCACTCTCATTATAGTTGATACAGTTAACCATGTTGAAAAATGTAGGGTCAGAGACTATGTACATTTCTGTGTGTTAAAGTCCTCCTGAAATGTCTTCTGCCATCTTTTCTAGAATCAACGGTTTATATTCCAGAGGCGGAATACAGAATCGAGGAGGCTGTTGGGGAGCTTTTGATTCCTGTGAGACGCTCTGGAGACACCAGTCAGGAGCTCAAGGTCATTTGCTGCACACATGCAGGTAGGAGGCTCTGCGGGGGGCTGGACACTGTGTTGGTGCTGGCAGTGGTGTGGGCAGTGAGCCACACAGAGGGCCAGGCATTGGACACCTGTCAGTCATCATTCACGGTACCTATTTCTTTCACTGACCTTACAGCTCAGGGATGGTCCCTAAGCTGTTTGGGTACCCTGACCACTGTCTGCTGATCCACTCAACCACAGGTAAATTTCCACTCAAAATTTACCTCACAAAGTTCTGTGAGTCCAATGAGTCATGTGAAAATAACTTGCATATAAATAAGGCCCCCTTATTTTTATGGGTCTGCTTTGCCTTGGACAACACGGTAACATGGTCTGTGCTATTCAGTCTGTCTTCTCATCCCTTTCAACCCTCTAAATATAAATGCCTCCAGCACTGGGAGCAGGTGTCCTCGGCCCCCAAAACAAGATCCCATTCTTTCTGGCTTCTCCACATCCATAGAGTCAAAATTCAGCTGCCCCATCCCTGCACCAAAACTGTGCAATGAGGAAAACTGTGGGAGTGGGAATAAATGAAGATTGCCCAACAACAAGCAAAGGCTGTTTGTCCAGAGCTTTGTGGAGCAGGGAGGCAGGCACCTCACTACTTGCACCTGGCACAGGTAGGCAGAGGAGTTGGGAAAATGCCGTAGTGGGGGATGGAGAGGTGTCAGGTGTGCCCAGGTTGGCATGGGGAAGTTGGAGGTCAGCTAAGATGGAGTGGGGCATCCTGACTGGCTAGGAGAGTATATTTGGCTTTCTCTGGTTGGTCCTATGTTAGAAGTAGGAACAAAAGCTAGGGAAGCTGAGAGTTATTGATTAATACCCAATCATTTGGAGATGATTGCCCCAGAGTTTATGGCTCAGTTTCCTGGGCTTGCTGCTGTAGATTTGGGGTCACAGTTCTAGATCCATTGTCTAGGTTCACAGTCTGAAATCTGTGCTCCTTCTTGTCTATATATCAGTAATGGAGATGTCATTCCCAAACAATGGTGGGCATTTTTGTTTGTTTGTTCTAAGGTACAAAGCTCCCACATCATGTCTGAGAATACTGGTAAGGGCAAGTGATGCCCTGGCAGATGGAAGCTTGAGTGGTGGGCCTTCGAGACCACCACCAAACCATAGTCTAAGACTAATGGCCTCCTTCACTTACTGGTAGTCACAGTTAGAATTTGTGGATTATTGATAACCTACAAAGCACGTGCCTGGCTGGTTGGGGACATAGCTCAGATGCATCCAGGTAGCAAGGGTGATAATAAAGGTTTGTGAAAGGTTAGGGAAAGAATTTCCAAAGGGCTGTCATTGGCCAGGTGGGAGGTGGAAGCAAAGAGAGCGACCCCTGTGTTAAAAAGTGTTTTAAAAGCTCGCACCAGCCTGTGGGTGGGGTAAAACCTGAGCAGTTTTTGATGACCAATAATCAGTGAGTGAGGAGACGTTTGGATGGTCCCTAGGCTAAGGTTTGGGTGTGAATAATCTGCACATATTTGCAATTGAAAAGAAGGTTCAGAAAAGGAGAAAGAGAAAAAGAATGTCCTATCCTGTTCTGTGTCTTGACCCACCACACCACCAAAAAACTAAGAATGAAAAGTTCGTCTCCGGTGTGCTTGATCTAAAGCTGTGAGAAGTTCTGGGGTGCTTTCCTCTGAGAAGGGTTTGCTTTCTCCCTCTGCGGTCCATGGGGCACTGTGGACCTGAGCCCCTCCTGTGCCCTGAATCTCAGTCCTGTCTCTCAGCTTCCAGTGAGCCCCATGAGGTGACACCCCGAGACCCGGCTCTCCCTGATGTTCTTGGGGAAGACCCAGGCTCTAAGTGGAGGCCTTTCTCTAGGTTAGGGGTTTTTATTTTTTGGGCTTTGGAAGTTTTTTGATTGTGGGAAGAGGAGATGTTTTTTCATTTTTGTTGTTGTCTGGGACCCTATATGGTTTTCCTTGCTGTCTATGAGCACAGAAAATCCACAATGATTATTTCTAGTTGTTTTGTAACGTGAGATCATCTCAGAGTCCTTCACTCAGAGGCCAATCACTGAGAACAGAAATCCCAAGGCCGCTCTCCATAGGATCTCCACATTGTGGCACCCTTGTCCTGCCCTTATAGCTACTCGCTCCCTGCCTCCTTCCAATCATGAGCACCCCCCCAACTCCTGAGGATTTTTAACTTACAATAAAGTTTTTTCTTTTTGGTGGGGCTGGGGTTTGAACTTAGAGCTTCGTTCTTACAAAGATGATGTCTATCACTTAAGTTATACCTTCAGTCCATTTTGCTCTGGTTATTTTGGAGATGGGGATCTTGCAAAATATTGCCAGGACTGGCCTTGAACCATGATCCTCCAGATCTCAGCCTCCCAATTGGTAAGGATTACAGGTATGATCCACCAGCGTACAGCTGTTTTTTGTTTTTTAATTTAAACTAATGTCAGTATTCTGTGTTCTTGATTAACACATATAACTGATCAGTTTCCTAAAGTAAATTTTCTAAAATCCTAGGAGAAATGAGCCACATATAAAAAGATTTCATACAGCATTTAATAAAGACAGCATTTGATTCTTACTGAGGACTCTAGCACTTACCTGTTTTGGGCATTTATCCTGAGAAGCTAAATTATGTATTTCTGACAAGAAATCTTTTTTTCATACCAAACACTTTACAGTTTGATGACTAAGCAAAGTAAGAAATAACACTCACACTCCAGTGTATAGTCTTTTTTCAAACATTTGACATTGCATTGTTTGCTTTTTAATCAGTGTCATGGTACTGTATGCCTATTTTCCTTTTTGTGCACAGAAGTCTCTGACAAACCGAGTGTCTGTTCTTGTCCTGTGGGCCTTTCTATGGTGCCAGGCACACTTCTCCCTTCTCATTTAGCTAAAGAGTACCTGTCTCTGGCATTTGGTGATAGCACTTGTCTCCAACATCCCAAGAACCAGCCTCACCTGGTGGACTTGACCTCAGAGACCTCTTTCAAGCATAGGTTTTCCTGGGAAAGGAACATCATAGAGGAACAAGGTTTCAAAGCCAAATCTTGGCCAGCCTCCCCACCACGTGGGAGCCCCTCCTCTGCCTATCCGTTTCTAGTGCTTTCTGCTTTCTGCCTTCATATGCACATTCTGTTCTTATCAACAATCCAGCTTGAATCTTTTTTTCATGTTTCCAGAATAACAAAACAATGTGTTACTCCCTAATAATTCTAATATTTGTGCTCTCAAAAAATTGTTCTAAAGCATGCATCCAAAAGTAGAGGAGACCAGGGAGGAGGAAAAGAAGGAAAGAAAGATAGAGAACAATAATGAAATACATCACACCTGTAAGGAAACACTGAAAACTTAAACAACACAGGATGGGGGAAAAGGATGAGGAAGTGCAGTGAAGAGGTTGCACTGACTTCAGCACAGTGCATGTCCAGGTAAGTACCAAGGCAAAACTCCCACTGACGGATAAACAGACACCCAAACAACAAAGGACAAAAATGGCAAACAGGGCACGCAAAGGAGAGGACACTAATGGGACAGGGAAGGCACTAACAGGAGGGACAAGGTAAATGAAGGAGGTAAAGAAAGTGAATATGGTTGAGGCACCTCCTATACAAGAATGAATAGAGAATTTTTAAACCTGTTTGAACTCACCATAAGAAGAGGACTAAGGCAGAAAGGAGAAAAATGGAGGAACTGAACCAATTCAGGTTATAATACATATAAACATGGAAATGTCATAATGAAACCCTCTGTATAGATATCTTACACAAACAAAAATGTCTGTTTTAAAAAATGAAGAACAGAAAGGTAAAAATGGAGGACAGGAAGGTCCTGTCTGGGGGTTGGTACCAGGTGTGAGTGGGGAGGATAAGGAAAGAGTGCAGGAAGATAAATATGGTGGAAATATTACGTACTCATACATAAAAGTGGAAAAAATGAGACCTCCTAAACTATTCTAAAAATGGGAGGAGGAGGGATAAAGGAGAATGATAGAGGGGGTGAATTTAACTAAGATATATTGTTAAGTACTTTTATAATTTATATTGTAAGCACTTTTGTAAATGTCACAATGTAGCCCCAGTACAACAATAATATGACAATAAAAAAATAAATTTTAAAAAATTGTTCTAAAAACATCCTGAGTCAGTACCATTCTGAGTAAAGCCTCTGAGACAATTTTTTTTTTTTTTGGCAATATTGAGGTTTGAACTCAGGGCTTCAAACTTGTAAGGCAGGTCCTCTACCACTGGAGGCACTTGACCAGCCCTGTTTTGTGCTGGGTTTTTTTGAGATAGGGTCTTAAGAACTATTTGCCCAGGCTGGCATCGAATCGTGACCCTCCTGACCTCTGCCTCCTGAGTAACTTAGATTACAGGCATGAGCCACTGGCGCCTGGCATAGATTTTCATTTTTTAACAAGCTATATCAACACACAGTCACAGACATCAACTTGTATTTATGTTTAGAAGATGGTGAGTGTTGGTGTTCTCACACATAATCCATACACCACAACTCTGAGCAAGAAAGACACTTACAAGGCTAGAGTAGCCCATCTGGACTCTCACCATCATATTCCCACTACTTCTTCCTAAGGAAAAGTGTAAAAGGAAGTATTTACACTTTCAAAAATTGCTTGTCTAGTATATTGAGTCATTTTATACTCTTTGGTCTACCTAGATCATTTAAATTTCTGTGAATACTTCTCACAGAACTTAGCTCTAAACCTATATGTAGCTGGGTCATTTTGATTTGTTTTGATTTTTATCTTTTTGTGGTTCTGGGGGTGGAATCCAGGGCCTCACACATGCTAGGAAAGTGCTCTACCACTGAACTACATTCCCACCCCTGCTGTTTTTAATACTACAAACAAGGGCTGGGACGAAGCTCAGTGGTAGAGCACTTGCCTAACATGTGCAAGGCCCTGGGTTCCATTCCCAGCACCAAAAGAGAAAAGATTTTAAAAGGAAACAAAAAAAAATGCACTGAATCCCAGAAATTCTACTCCTAAGTATTTACTACAAAGAAACAAAATTATATATCCATTCCAAGACCTCCACTAGCATATTCAGAGTAACATTACTCAGAATGGCTAAAAAAGACCCTGTCGCCAACTGGTAAATAATAAATGTAGTGTAGCCACACAATGGGGGACCATGGTCAATAATTAAAGTGAACTAAGTCATGATAGATGGATGAACCTCCAAAGCATTCTGCTAAATGAAAGAATCCAGACACAGAGACCACTGTGTGTCTCCATTTCTGTGAACTTCTCTTAAGCGCAAATGAATCCATACTGACAAAAAGCAGATTTGTGGTTTCCAGGGGCTGGTAGATGACAGGGAAGAAGGTGGATTGCAAAGAGCACATGTCAACATTTGTGGGTAGATAAAAACATTCTGTGTTGGTGGTTACATGATTGTATGGATTTGTCAAAACTCATCAAATTGTGCTTCTGCATTGGTGAATCTTAACGTCAGTAACTTAGTCAAATAAAATTTAAAGTGTGCTGAATGTAAACTGAAATCCCCAATCAACCCTGCACTCCTTATAAATTAGCTAGTGCCTGCATTGTGGTTGCACAGAAGGAACTCCAGTCAGAGGGTAAGGAGTAGACCAAGTAGATGCTGCTCACAGCTGTGTCACTGTGGGCAAAGAAGAGGCAGAAGAAGCTCTATGCCATCACCATGTTGTGTTTTCTAGTCCTAAATTCTCTGTCCCTGTCTTCCCATCCACATATGAAAGATTTAGGATAAGCCATCTGTAGCTTCCTATTATCTTTCAGTTTATTTAGCCCCTAATCGAAACACATCTTACTCAATATATCCTACTTAAATACCACCAAATCTGGACCATATTGAAATAGCAGAGTCTATTCTGAAAGCCTTCTAATTATAATACTAGTATTTGTGACTAGAAGAGATAAGTATGCCTGATAACTCTGATGGCTATTATTTAAAAATAGTTTGAAGAAGTGATAGGTGAAGGCCCATTGGGAATTCCCTTTCTTCTCACCTTCCCTGCTCCTTCTCTCATTCCTGTAGATTCTGCCACAGGCACAGTTCTTGCCATGGTGTCATCTCTCTCTGACTATGTCTCACGACCAGAAGACCACACGAGCTTCCTCCACTTTCGCAAGCATGAGACTGAGCAGACCTGCCGGGTCCTCATCATCAATGACTCCCTGTATGAAGACGAGGAATCCTTCAGGGTTTCACTGAGCCTGCCGGTGGGAGGGCAGCTGGGAACCAAATTCCCCACCACCAAGGTGACTGTCCTGGCTGACCCCGAGGATGGTAGGTCCATTTCCGGCTTCCCCACTCTTGACAATGACTGCCTTCTGCTCACACATGGCTCAAACAGTTGAAAAAGCAAACCTAGCTTGCTTGCTTTTTTTTGAGGGATAACTTTCCAAATTTATTTCATTGTGAGTCTATCCTAACCTGTCTTTTTTTATCCTCTTTTTATAAGCCATGATTAGTTGGGGTTTGTTTTTCAATGTTTTTTATCGTCATGCTGGGTGGGGGTTACACTGTGGCATTTATGAAAGTTCTTATAATATATCAAATATATCACATTTGAATCCACTCCATCCATCATTCTCCTTTATGTCCCCCTCCATTCCTGGAATAGTTTCAACAGGTCCCTTTTTCCATTTACATACATAGGTACACAGTATTTGCACCATATTCACCCTCCTATACCCTTCCCCAATCCTCCCCCTCTCACTGGTGCCAACCCTTCCAGATGAGACCTGTTCTGCCCTTCTGTTCTCTGATTTTTCGTAAGAAAATAAGAGGAAGAAAAAAAATTGTTTAAGATAACTACACAGGGAGTTTTCTTGTGGCACTTTCATGTCTATATGTACAGGCTGCCAGCCTGGCTCAAGCAGTAGAGTGCCTGGATAGCAAGTGCATTAGGCCCTGAGTTCAAACCCACTTGCCTCCAAATAGAAGAAATCTAGCTTTCTTTATGTATTAAAGGAATATTTGGTGTTCTTCTTTCTCCAAAAGCTGTGAATAGCTTTTCAAATGCATAGACATCATCGTCAATACCAAGGGCAAAATGGCAATATAGGAACATTGAGTATTTGTGTATGACTTTATTTTTAAAAAGAAAGAAGCAGCACAGCCCAAGGCGACCTAAAACTTGTAAGAAAGCCAAGAAGAGAACCTGCATCAAGTATCTAAGTTCCCAACCAGGGCTGCCGCACAAGGACCCTCATCTTAGCAGTACTGGGAGTTTTAAAATAGCACGAGGGTGTCATGGAGTTCCATGTGTAAAGCATCTGTGCCTCTTCCTGTGGCTTCTGGTCAGGGAAATTGGCTCGAGTCCCTGGGGAAGCCATCCAGAGAAGAAAGTTCTCTTTATAACTCAACACCAGCCCTCTCCTCCTGTAAGAAGTATCAAGCCCAGTGTTAACATCTCAGATCTACATATCCCTTCCTATGAGGATCACGTTTAAAAGAAAATGGTAGTAAAGACAGGGCCAGGAGCAGATGTTTTATTACTGCTTTCAAACTAGATTGATTGCTTCATCTCTCAACCGTGCTTCTGTCAGGACTGTGAGTTGCTTTGCTCAGATCTAGGCAGGATTAGACTGGCCTGCTATTACAGACCCCAAGTGAATGTGACTGCTGTGCAGATTCAACACAGAGCTTCCATTAAACTGAGAGCTGTGTCAAGCGATGCACACGTAATAAGTATAGTTTGAACAGTGTATATACTCTCCAGGTGATATGGCAAATTTATCATGTATCTGTTTTGTTTAAATTTTTGTTCTCAAAACAACCACAGAATGGCGGGGGAACATGAGTGAGATCAAAAGTGGTTTGTTTGTTTACTTTTTGGTCTCCTCATTGGCTTTGCTTGGTGATATGGCATCCTACACCCTACAGACCAGATCTCAGAAGTGTAAATAAATCACTTTCACACATTAAAAAGAAAAAAAAATTAAGAGCTAAGTTCATTTCCAAAACACATTTTCACAAGTATCAAAAGCTAAGATAAGAATAGGACCTGAGGTCTATGCTTTCTTCTTTATGGGTTTTTTTCAAAAATTTCTCCATTAAAATTAAGATAGTGATTGTTTTCTTAAAAATAACATGCATGGTACAACTGAGATTTGCACTCAGGGCTTACCATTTGCAAAGCAGGCGCTGTACTGCATGAACCGCACCTCCACTCCATTTGGCTCTGGTTATTTTGAGGATGGGATCGCCTAAGCTGTGTGTTTCCCTGGGCCACCTCAAATCTCAATTCTCCCATCTCATGCTCCCAAATTGCCAGGATTATAGGCATAAACCACTGGTGCCCAGCAAAGATTAGCATTTTTAATCTCAAGGTTTGATTAGGATTATGGTGGGAGCCCCTATCTTTTAATAAGAGATCGGGAAGGGTTTGCTGGCTACAGATGAAGAAGGTTTAAAGCAGGCAAAAGAAGGGAAAAAGGAAAAGTTATGAATTGTAGACTTTTCTATTATTCTACATACTCAGTTTCACAGTAGCTCTTCCCTTTATAGTCAAGTCTTTGGTGATGAGGAGTTAGCATGAGAAGTTAAAATCTGTAAACATACAGCTTCAAATTCTTTCTCCCTTCACAGCCACACCTTTCCTTACAGCTAGACAGAAGATACCAGAAGAGTCTCTTATTATTTTCTCTTCTGAAGCTGGGTGTTAGCCAAAGTGCCCAATGAAAGAAATGCAGTGTAAGAAGAAGGGAAGCAGAAGGGCAATGATAGAGTAAGAAAAGCTTTGGAGATTGGACTTCTTGGCCAGGGGCCCAGTTCTCTGTAGTTGACCTTGGGAAGGTCCAGTTTCTCAATCTATAAGGCTTCTATCACACGTAACCTTAATTACTTTATTCCCAAATGCTGTTTTTATTTTTACTGGGGTTTGAACTCAAAGACTTGCCCTTGCTAGGCAAGGCACTTGAGCCATGCCCCACTCCTTTCAAAGGCTTTTCAGTAGAGAAAAAATTAACACACAGAAATAATGGTGCAAGATTCTCAGTTCAGTGTAAGCAGTCTAAATTGCTGCATATTATTCATAATTACTAATTCATAATAGAGCAATTCATATGAGAGCACTCCTCATAATTACCAGATTTAGTAAATCTGCATTCAGATTCTATAACATTTATTAAAGATAAACTTAAAATTCAGTACCAGGATCCACATATGTGGCCATTTGTAGTCATTATGTGTAATTTTTCATGTTATCATCTAATGACAAAAAGAGGTGACACCACAAGCTTTAGCTTCTAATTACCCTTTTCATAGCTTCCTAAGTGATTTTGGTTTTGTTCTCAGGTTCTCAGCATCTCTCAGATCTGAGACCTCCTATTAATAATTAATGAAAATTATAACTCTGAAGTATTTCAATAGCATCATAAACAGATGATATAAAAATTCTTATTTCAACAATCAATATATTTACCTTAAGTTTTCCTTCCTGGAACTTTTCGTCTCAGACATATGTCATATGTCTCAGACATATGTCATATGTCTCAGACATATGAAGGCTACAGAATGTATTAAGGCCAACAACTATTTCCAGTGTGTGAACTCTGCCTTTCCTGTGTCACATGGGAGCTTATCATGACCTGAGACAACCAGTAGCCAAGAAAGGAGACATACAAGAGTTAATAGCGCTGGTGCAGTCTGTCATCAGAAGATTCTGGTTTTGTGCTCCAAATGGAAAAAAATCCAAGCAGAGCATGTGGTTGGGGTGAGGTAGGATAGCTTTATTGAGAGAAGGGGAGTCACCCATCCTGCCAGGTGAGGAAAGGGAAGAAGGAGGGGACACGGTGGGCACAGGTGGGGTCGCTGGCTGAGAGAGCGTGCTTTTCGTTTTCAGGTGCCTTTAAAACCTACACTATCCCATGGGAGGGCAGGCCCAGGAGGTTCCCACCCAATAATGAACGAGAAGGGAGCAGTGTGGGCAGTTCCCAGCCAGGTGAGGGTGGTCTGGCCCATCTCCAGGCAACCTACATGAGCCCTAAACTTTCCTACTTCTAGCCTGCCTCACAAGGGTGACTGATCTACTGAATCTCACTTAAGAAATCTGAGATGACATAGTGAAGTAATTGTAAGCTTAGACATTCACAAGAGTCCACACATCTCCCAAGCTCCCAAGAGGTGACACAATACTCCTTCTAGAGACTTCAGTGCCTGTCCAGATGTCTTCCAGCCATGCCAAGGATGCTTCTTGGCTGGTCCTGCAGCCCATGACCTGACTGTCAAGGTCAAAGGCCCAGAAATTCAATCTTGTCAATGGCCCCAGGACAGAATACAGACCCACAGGAGAAATGTATGAGGCAGGAGGTTAAATTATGAGCTATAGTGAACCATCAAAGGTCAAAGGGTACAAAACACCAGGACCCTCCAGTTAGTGCAGTCCCTCCTCAAAGACTACCTGTGCAGTCTCTTTGCAGGCAGGATATTGTTCAATGACCATGACATCCTAGCTCTACCATCAGAGTAGTACAGCCATCTCCAATTGAGCAAATAACTACCCAGAGTCCAAGGTCAAAACAGGCACCTGATATATTTGGGTTGGGGCTGCCTGGTCTTTTCTAGATTTCATGCACAGTGAACATCAGCTAAACTGTTTTCTCCTCAACATGGTACAAAACAGTCACTATTTTACAGCCGTAACCTCACTAACCCAGCCCCACTCTGCTGAGCTATGCTTGGTCACACTCTGTTCAGCCCTTGCTGATTGAAGGCCCTGGAATGTCTCCCTGTCCACAGTCAGACCAGGCAATACTCTGCAATACTGAGGCATTACTTCAACCACTCTGTGGGGACACTCGTTGTGGCCCTCAGTGAATGGCTGCCATGGGAGCTACCTCCACAATGGTCTCCAGACTAGAGAGTCATTGACTTGGACACTCCTGTGGCTAATGGTTCCTCTGAATGGCACCATTTTACTTTGGCCTTGAGGCAATGACCATAGGACTGTTAGCTCACCCACCACTTAATTCTCATCTTTGGACTAGTGAAATGGACATGCACCTAGTTCACTTTTTAAACATTAAACATTAGTCAAAGTCTAGTGTGGCACATCTCTGGCAATAGTTTAGTTGCCATTTCAGACAGGACTAAAGCACACGCCCTACAAAATTGACTGAAAAAATATTGAGAAAGCATGCCCTCATTTTCCACAGTTAGGGTTTCACAGATAATTGGCCAGAATCTGGGTAATTGTTAAATCCCAGCAATGCTTCTTTGTTTAGAGTGTCAAATACATCATCCTGTAGCAAAAGCATATTTTCTTTTAGGGCAGTGGCAAC